CAATAATGGTTTTCAACGAGACGTACTTTTTTCGGATGAAGCTACGTTTTATTTAAATGGAGTGGTTAACAGGCACAACTATCGCTTTTGGTCCCAGGAAAATCCACACTGGACATGCGAATCGCATACGCAGCATCCACAAAAAGTTAATGTATGGGCAGGTATCATCAACAACAGAATCTTGGGCCCATTCTTTTTTGAAGAAAATCTTACTGCCGCACGCTACCTGGATTTCCTAACATTTGACCTGATACCTGCTCTAGCTGTGATTTTCCCTCATGAAATTGATCCAGATATACCGAATGAAAGAATTTGGTTCCAACAAGATGGCGCTCCCCCACATTTTGGTATTGATGTTCGAAGATACTTAGATGAAATGTTTCCAAATCGCTGGATTGGTAGACGGGGTACAGTTGAATGGCCGCCAAGATCCCCCGACTTAACACCCCTGGATTATTTTCTTTGGGGATATTTGAAAGAAAGAGTCTACCAGGACAGACCGGATAATATTGAGAATTTAAAGAACAAGATTAGGGCGGAGATGCATAATTTACCAGCTGAAGTCATTCAGAATGCTGTGGACAGCTTTTACTATCGTCTTGGAGAATGCCAAATAGTGAATGGAGGACATTTTCAGCATTTGCGACATTGAGTTTATTTTTGTAAATTATCTAGTTGTTTCAATTTCTAAATGAAAAAAAACTTGTTATTGAAAAAATAAAACTTGTTTATTTGGTATGGCTGGATTCGGTTTTCTATAAGCTTTTCAACGAGCCCCCTCATGCCTTATGTTTCCATTTGAAAAAAAAAGTAGGGGTAGCTGGGGGTTAGGGGGTTGAAGAAAAATTAATTATTATATAATCGAAAGATGGGAAAAAATCAAAATCAGTTAACGTGTTTCGGCGTTTTAAAAAAAATTAACTCATTCAAAAGATATGAATTTTATTCCGTACTTCTGGCCATCCCTGTATATCGGGACAAACTGTAGATAAGACCAAAAACGAATGTTTTATTTCAACACCATCAAAAAGGTCTTGCTAAAGATTAGGTTCTATGGTTTTAAAAAATCTTTATCATGAGGTTAAGATCAAGAAATATGCGATGCAATAAGAGACACCCAGTATAGTATCAACAACAAGAACGTGGACATATTGGTCTTGGAAAACCATGAACTAGAATGTGGTGGATCAAAAACTCCAGTCCACCATTTAACATATTCTGTGTGTCTATGGAGTACCATAGAAAATGCTTGAATATCCACTAAATCGTCAACATTATTGACATTGTTTAAAGTAAAACGTCCATAAATTTTTGGAAGAAAAGAATACAAGTTTATATATTTTCTACAAGAATCAGTGGTAACGAATGTTGGGTTGGGCATAAAAATGTGTGGATTTGGTCTTATCTTGTCAAAAAATAGATACATTCTTCTTTGCAAAAATTGTAATAACATGTTTTTTTTTTGGAGCTTTCAGACATTTGGGAAAGTGGAAATCACTTGGTGCCAAATCTAAGCTATACATATAGCAGATAACCACCCAAAACGCTTAAGTTATTCTTGTCTTCACAGCAATATGCAGGAGTGTGTTGTCAAACAGTTTTCTAACAGCCGTATGACTTTCTTTATGTTTGAAGGTCTAGGCATTGAGTGATCATTCACAGATATAACAACCATTTATATTTCACCTGCAATGATTCCATGCTTGTAGTTGAGACATCAAAATCTGCATCATTCGATGGTTGTCCCATCTATGGCATCCTGATGAGAACTAATAAGTTTGAAACCGGTATATGTCCGGTCTATTCGGCTGACTAGATTGAATTGTACCAGCAATATCTAGCAAACATACTAAATAATGTTGGTGTAATTAGATGTTCGTAGAGCATGTAGACATTTCTTTATGTTGGTCGTTTAGCAATTGTGATAACCCATCTGGTACCGATTTTATGGTAATCCAAATGATCAGTGACGATTTTTTGCAGCAGAAAATGCGACGTTTCAATGGATCCAGTTTAGACTATATCAGGAGAATTATCTTGATCCCATTTATTGCTTCAGGTCTTCGGTTACGACAGATAACCATCACCAACCCATAACATCGTTTCCATAGAAAGCAGAATGTGGGCTTTCAAAAGGTTTAGGCTAGCCATTTGCAATTGGTGTTTTCTTGGAAATGCTACTATTAAAAATTTGGTAAAACTTAGAACACACTTAGCTGAGTTTTGACTCCAAACAGCTAGCTTTGTTTTGATGTGATTGTCTTTTGTTCGCAAACGGGTACTAGATTTATACTACTCTAGTATTATTTTATTGAATTGTTTTTTCGTTACCACCATATAGTTTTTTCCATAGTTTCAACATATATTGTTCATTAGCCCACAGCACATTTTTAAGATGTTCTTAGATGCCTACATATCTTAAATCTTTTAAGAGTTGTATTAACTTTAAAGAAATTGAAAAACTGATCAATCATTTAACAGTTGTATGTAACTGAGAGGTAAATCAACTCAAATAGAGACGTAAATAGAAATTTTGTATTTGCGTTAGGTTAGGTATTAATTTTAAAGATAGATACATTCAAAATGCAAAATGCCGTAGAAAAAGATATTAAACAATTTAATAATATAACAATTGCGCTGACTCTGTATATTTAGACTTACGAGAATCTAAAGAAAACAATCAGTAGAATACCAGCCAGATATATTTATCTTAATATATGCGTGTCGACGGCAAAAAAGACAAATAACTTCCAAGGGAGGTAATAAATGATAAAAATTCTGCCTTATTATGAGAATACTTTAACGTTCGGCAAAAGGGTAAAAAAGAAGGGGTTGAAAAGTATTTGCAAAGTGCGGTATCAGGTGCAAGTTTAATCGAAAAATCTCTGTCTTAATCCTCAATTATTTCTTAAATATTCAAAAGACGGTGGTGTTCTTTTAATAGAAAATCCTTTTGGCATATAATAAGGGATTACTTTCACTGAAAACCAACAATATTTATTAAAGAATTCTGATGAGATTAAGAGATACGATAAGAAATGTGTCGACAATTTTATGGGGTTTCGTTTCGCTGCCTGAAATTATTTTATTAATGCGTGAACAAAACTAGACTAAACTCAGTCTCTCGACGTGCATGTTAATAAACTGAAATTTATTTAAATATCTCTCTGAAACCATTTATTTAGCTAATTAGTTTTATACGAGGTGGTGCCACTTGAACGACTTTATGTAATACACCGGTTCAAAATGAGATTGCGGGCATTAATCATGCATTTTTATATTCGAAATATGAGCGATTTTTATTCGGAACTAAAATAAAATTTATAGAAAACAAATGAATAATTTAAACAACTGTAAGTAATGTATCAGTTCAAAATAATACTGAGACATTGACCTGACGTTTTAAAATTCGAAACATTAGTTATTTTTATTTAAAATTGGAATAAAATTTATACCTAAGTATTACTGAATAAATAATAATAAACTTTAAGTACCTAACATGACAGTTCAAAATGAGATGGTAGACATTAATCTGCAATTTAATATTCGAAACACGAACGATTTTTAGTCAAAACAGAAATAAAATATATATAAAAATAAATGTGTAATACCTATGTACTACTTATATTTCATTTAAAAATAAATCTATATCACTTGAAGTTATAAAGTTTAAAGTGAGATTGCAGGCATTAATATGCCAGTTTTATATCTGAACCGTGAGCAATTTTTACTCAAAACTAAAATAAAATTAATAAAAGCAGATGAATAAATTTAATGATTTTAAGTAATATGCCAGTTTAAATTGAAGTTGTGGATATTATCTCCTGCTATTTTAATATTTTAATCAAATTGAAATAATAAATGTATAAATTTGAACAACTCTACCGGTTTAAAATGAGATTGCCCCTATTAGTCTAGCATTTCAATATTCAAAACTAGGCAATTTTTATTCAAAACTCAGGCAAAATTAATTATACATAGGTATATAGACTTACAATTTTATGAAATATATTATGTTTCTTGTAAGTCGACTATAAAACAAAAATTATATGAAATGTCATTATTTTTTTTTCTAAAAACAACAGTGTGTAATAAATATATATGTCAACTTTATCCATAGGTTTTATCATATCAGCGAACACATATACTGAAAAATAAAACAAAATTAAATAATAAAGTAAACACAACATAAGGGAGCACAGTGTGTAAAGCAATATAACTGGAATAAAAATAAATGAATTTGTTGAAAACTGTACAACTTTTTGACAATATCTTCAAGTTAAAAAGGTATGATATTAATTTTTTTATAATATAAATTCTGTCTATGAAGAAATTATCGTGAATACATTGCTTCAGGTATATCATATTTTAACAGGCCTTTTAATGACGTTATCTTTTTCACTATAATTCTGAGATTGACAAAATTATCTACAAGGCATGTTTAAATTTTATTTTGTTATAGTATATCAGTAGGCATTAGAGAGGTTATGTCTCTGTAGAAATATATCAGTAGATATATAGCAGAATATCTTTATTTGTTTTCGTTTCAAAAAAACAATTACACTTCAATAGCTATTTATTGTCTCGTCTCTATTATTGTTTCATTTACTATTCTTAAGATGACTTCCGATGCCTTTTTGCAATCTTTGTTTATTTGTTTTTTCTCAAGATTCTCTTCAACATTTTTATTTCAAACTTCTATTAATGTTTCATGAATAATGTTATACCTAAGTCACCTAATTTGTTAATGTCCCTGATATGACTGGACCTCCCTTGAGGACATTTGTCGAACATTTTGAGAACTTGAGGTTTACTCACTTGCAAAAAAATATACCAACTTATTATGACTGTTTTAGTGCCTAAATTCAATACACCAGTATTTTAATTGCTATGAAATATATAAATGTATCTTATTTATGTCCAAGTTGCACAGTTTCCTGGTTAAACAAATCTTAACTGAACTAAACGTTAAAAAAATAAAAAAAACCTCGTGTACATACATGGCTTACTTTCGATGTATGTGTCCTTAGGCTAGATTCAGTCGCAAATCCTTTACCACAAATGTTGCAGTGGAAGGGCCTGTTTTTAGCTCTTTCTACTTGAGCATCGTGGTTGCGCAGGTGCTGCTGGAGGTTTGACAGTTGGATAAAGGCTCTACCACAGTCGGGAAGATGGCACTTGTATGGACGCTCTCCTAAAATTAAAGAAAAGACACGTGAAGAACAAAATATCTCAAAATTTTTTATCTATTGATATTCATATACCCATTAATTCAATTTCTGAAGGGAGGCCGCATACTTTAAAATGCAGAAATATATTAATAAATATATCGCGGTTGAGTTTCGTGTTGATCTTTGTGATTAGAAACAAACCTAGGAAATATTGTCAATGTTCAATATGTTGTAAGTACAGATGAACATAAATAAGTTTACGTCTGAGATAGCTCCGCCCATAAGTGCGCAGTGGATACGGCAATGGGAACGCTTCTATTACAAATCGCTGAGCCTATGTCTTATTCTTTCTAACTGAATGAGTTCTTTTGTAATTTCGCGCAGTTTTGCCAGAGTCAGAAACCCAAACTTATTTATGTCTTTTACTAGTACCTATTATTTGGATAAATATGTATCATTATTAATACCTAGCAACTAATTTGTTATTAAAGGGTACATCTAGTAATTAAATTTGATCTAGACAACTTTTTATAACAAATTCGAGTTGGTTTGATTCTATTTAAGTAATTTAAACGCAAAAGAGCTAATAATAAAAAATATGCACTTGTCGCTTTTAACGATTAAAACTTAACTTAAACGCAAAAGAGCTAAGAATAAAAAATATGTACTTGTTGCTTTTAACGATATTAATGTTCCTCGAGGACCTTCATTGGACCCTATCTCTTATTAGTTTTGCAAAGTTATTTGTTTTTGTTAAGATTCTGAATGGTAAGCTTTCGAAAGCAAAGGTCATATAGTCCAATTGAAAAAACTCCTAAAACTCTTCAATTGAACAGAGTTTAAATCTGACACTACATATTTTTCAAATTCCTTTCTGTTGTAGGAATAACGTTCATAATTTGTGTCAACAACATTTCTTAATACCAAACGAGTAAATGGATGAAGATCGGTTATTTAATACATGTAAGTAATAACTGTAATATATTTTAAAAATAGTTATTTATGGTACTAGTGTGTTACCGTATATATAAGTCACGCTGGAAATGGAAAATGTGGAAATTGTATCTGAAATTTTAGAAAAAGCTAATGCGGCAGGCATCATTCCGGAGAAATCAAAATCTATATACAAAGGAATTTCAAGATTGGAAAATCAAAGAAGGGGTGAAAGCCGTAAATGAAGATATCTTGCTGGCTTATTTTTTCAATTTAAGTGAGAAATTAGCTCCATCCACATTGTGAACTAAATATTCCATGTTGAAGTCAACTTTGAGAGTTTAAGAACATTAAAATTTCTAAATTCGGAAGACTAGTGGCATTTCTAAAGTCTAAGCACAAACATTTTCAACTCAAAAAATCCAATGTCTTAGAAAGAGAATAAATGGAACAATTTTTGCGTGAAGCCCTATACGAGGATCAACTTATGAATAAGGTAGGTTCTACTGAATATTTTAACTGAGTTATATTTATTAAATTTGTTGTTTTTAGGTGGCGTTGATATTAGCAGTTTTTGGCGTTTGTCGTTGCGAGAAATTGACCCATCTAAACATAGATAATATAGAGGACAAAGGGCAGTATATCCACATCATGATTTCAAATACTAAAACAAACAAACCAAGAAGCTTCGCTGTGTTAAATGAAGGATTTTGTGTTAATCGAATTGGATTAATTAGAAAATATTCTAAGCTAAGGCCTCAATGTGCATAAAAGGTTATTTTGCAATTTTCAAAAGAGAAAATGCACACGTCAATGTGTTGGTATTAATGAGCTATCAAAAATCCCTAATGTTGTTGGGATCCCTAATGCGATTTTTGGGCTTGACAGATTCTAGCGTATATACAGGGCATGGCTTGCGTCACGCATCTGCAACTCTCTTGGTCAATGCTGGAGGTTTCAAGTAAAATTGATATTGCTAAAAAGATACAAGGAGTGCAGACTCCTGAAGCAAGCACAAGCAAAGGGGCAACCTGTTCTATAAATTTACCACAACCACAAAATGATTCTAATAATCCTTTGGCATCTTACGGCTTGAATAAAATTCGGCTCAGGAAAGTGCCGGGACTTTAACAAATATCTACACAAGTTAAGGCTTGTAGAAAGTCCGGTCTGCCAAGGATGTCACTTGACGGTTGAAAGGACAATGTTCAAAATAGATCAATTTCTGCCCCACTCTGGAACTTTCTGTAGCTATCTTAAATGATTCCAATAGGCTTATATTTGATAGACATACACTTCTAAGGCTGTCACTTTGCGGAGAAAATCGTCCAGAAGGCGACATCTGCGTAAGATCGGGTAAAACTTATTCAGCCTCTAGGCGTAGATTCTTTGAAATCGATCCATGTTCAAGCAACTCCGGAACTTTTTGTAGTGATGTTAAATGACTTCAGTAGGCTTGTATTTCATGCAATGCATTGGATTTGAATAGAATCTAACCACAACAACAACGAAATGTTTTTGGTAATATTTAAAATAGATGGTATTGGACACTATAACGACATAACATCAACACTGGACTTTTTCTCTAACTTTTAGTCCATCTCCCATGACTGAAACTGTTTTTACCTCACAAATTAATGAAATATCTTTAACTTTTCTATTATGAAGCGATGTAAGTTGTAAATGTGTGTCTTTTAAAGAATAATTACAATTATTTTACATGAATATAGTATTACGGAAGCAACATAATATAAAATAAAATGTAGGTGAAGTAGAAATACTTAAGATCGATTATGTAAATTTCTTAAAGGGTAATAGAATACTAACCAAACGCGTTCACATCATTTAAATAGTATTTTTTTGTTATATACATGTGCACGGGGTCAACCGAAGTTAACCCTTAAATTAAACTAGGTACAGAACATCTGCTCGCGAGGGGTCATCGTATAAAAAATGTTGAGTTCAAATGAAATGCTTGGTCGATCGACGATTGTAGCGTATCAAATTCAGTAATGAATTTTTATTGTAGCATCATTCCTGTTATTACCTAGACATATGTAAAACACCTTTTGTTGCGTACGGTGAAGGAGTAACACATTTTTTAGGAATAGATACCGCTTTGAACAGCTTATTGTGGGGTAACCTAATTAGGGCATACAAAATTGTACTAATTGGCTGCGTGAAATTAGGCATTGGAACTTTGTTAAGACATATCCTCAAAATATACATATTTTTAAATAAAAATTTTAAAAAGCGTCTATCTGATGACGCTATAACAAAGCTAGAAATATGTTAATTAAATCATTAATCATTGTTGGAACTGCTTAATTTTAAGTCAGAATTTTAAATTTTACATCAGATTTAGAAGATAATATTTTCATTGTAACAGAAATCTATCCAGATTGATGTGGCTGCAAAAAATCATGTATAGGCACAATCAAATTACACTACGTACACTAAGTACACTGGTAAAGTACACCAAGTACAATAAGTACTAACTAAGTAAATACACTGGTACACTGGTAAGTGGTCAAGTACACTAAGGTACACTAAATACTACTGAAGTTATGTGATGTAAATTAATGAAACTCCAGATAAAGATTGAGCAAATTAAATATAGGTGGCGGGATTCTGACAGATACTGTTACTAAAAACCTTAGAACTCAAAGTCACTATGTATTTTAGAAATCCTAGCGCAGTGTTTGTTATGTACAGGGTGGTTTAAATTCGATACTTTTGGGAGGGGGATTTCTGGACGAGATAGAACAAAAGTATTTATGATGTTACAGTCTCGATTATCGACAAAAATTGAATGGGAAAACAGGATCTCGATGTCTTGATTGGATTAAGAGATTCAGTGCGATTCCCATTTTTGACCGTTATTTTGTAAAATAAATAACTGTTTTTTTCAGACAATTTTATAATATGGTAAAGAGATTTGTTTGTTCAATTTTTTTTGGGGTGTATGTTATATTTTACTATAACTTCCGATTTTTCGGTTGCAACCGAAACTAATTTTTGTTGTAAAGTGTTATACTCTATATACACCGTGTCCACCTAGTGCGTGTAAGTCCAATATCTAGGTTAATAAAAGATATAACTTAATTTTTTTTCTACAGAGTTGCCTGCTTTCCCGAGTTGCACAAAATGAAAATATATTTGCATACACAGGGTGTTCAGTTTTTCCTGGGCAGGTACCAACTTAATTTTTTTAAATGGAAACCTATATTTTTGATGGCATTATCGAATTCTACGTGAAAAATTAACGGGACTTTTCATTTTTTTTCTTATGTTTCGTCACTTCTAGTAGTTGACATAATTATGATTGTATGAGAGCTAGAATTTTTTTTTTCAGGAACTGCAGAGTGAAGATGGCTCTTTCAAATAACGTATCAACAGTTGACCTGCGATATACAGGGGGCAAAAAAATCGTGCCAAACCTGATAATTTAAAATTTGAAAAATCTCGACTTTTTCAAATAGAACACCCTGTGTTTTATGATTTCATTAGATGCATTTCTGTAGACCCTACAATTTTTTAATAGCTTTCACTATACCTAAGTTGCGTAGTTTTTGCAAAAAACCCATTTTTATGTAAAATACTGGATTTGCGCTCGTTCCTTTGTCGGGAAAAATATTGTTTAACATTTTTTTTTCAAGGTAAAAATATTAATTATTATTATTGAAGCTACCAACTTTTACAATAAAAATCTTTAACACGCTATTTATTTAAGAACAAGAAGTTAGTTTATGTTTTGGTGTTAATACATTTCATTCTTAGTAAAAGTTGCTTATTAAGACAAGAAAGATATGTATTTCCTTCCTATCGATGTTTGAATATAAAATATTATATTAAAGTCCCTATAAAAAACTTAATTTAAATATAAATCTGTCAAAACTGTAGAAGATAACCAAAAATATTCGAATGTAACTGACATTGGTACTACCGAGTAAAAATTAAGTCCCTAAAAATCCCTAAAATTAGCCAATAAATTAGATCCGGTTTTATTGTCCTTAATTTCTTGTAAATTTATTAAAGCTAGAAATTGTTCAACAATTTTTATATTATATTGTTATATTTAACTAGTAAA